TAGGGAAAGCCCGGAGGGTCACCCAGAGATCTTCCACCTATCCTGAGAGGACCCCACAAGCTCTGGGCACAACAGTCACCCTGGGCCAGCACAGGGCCTATAGTCCTGCTGGTTTGCTGGAGTGAGAGTGGAGGAGGTGAACTTTGCTCTCCTGCTACACTGACAGGTGTGCTCTGTTACACGGACAGGTGTGCTCTCCTCTTACACTGCCAAGTGTGCTCTCCTGTTACACTGACAGGTGTGCTCTCATGCTACACTGACAGGTGTGCTCTCCTGTTACACTGACAGGCATGCTCTGTTACACTCAGGTGTGCTCTTCTGTTACACTGACAGGTGTGCTCTGTCACACTAACAGGTGGTCTGTTACACTGACGGGTGTGCTGTTGCATTGACAGGTGTGCTCTCCTGCTACACTGACAGGTGTACTCTGTTACACTAGCTGGTGGTCTGTTACACTGACAGGTGTGCTCTGTCACACTAACAGGTGGTCTGTTACACTGACAGATGTTTTGTTACACTGACAGGTGTGATCTCCTGCTACACTGACAGATGTACGCACCTTTATTGAAATGATAAGAACCCGAATATGGATGTTTCTGAATGAATGCTTTTCATTTGTTTCAGAAAAAGCTTTCCAAACCTGGGATCCATGAGAGGACAACAGACAGGACGCTCTGTAGTAAAAATGGTGGACAATCTAACCTTTGCGAGGTCACACCCAGGAAGGAGGAACGGCACCGTCACTCACCCGGGCGTGGCAATTGCAACAGGGCTGCTGGGCAACCAAACCCACTTGGCAGGACTGTGTCCTCCCAAGGAACCCAAACCCCTGCTACCCCTTCCCCACTCAGTCCTGCAATCTCAGTAGCATCCACCACCCAGCACGGTACTTCTGAGTACAGGTCATGGCTCCGCTGCTGCGAGCTGCGACCCGAGGGCTGAGAGAAGGACAGACAATGGAACCCACCTGCTTCCCACCAGGTGACCCTGCTCCCCTCCCGCAGGCCTCTTCCTGAAGGCAGCCCTGGCTCTGCGAGTTCAGAGCCTTGCCGCACTGAGAAGAGGGCCTTGAGCATTCCTCAGCCCCAGGGCCTTTCTCCTACTCCTCGAGTGTGGGCCCCCAGCCCTGGCGGTGACAGAGAGGCCCTGGCAGACCGCCGGGCTGTGTGCAGTGGCGCAGAGGCCTTACCTCATGGGACAGGTAGAAAGCCGCAATGCCCAAGGGCCAGAAGCAGCAGAGCATGGAGAAGACGCTGAGGCCCAGATGGTCCCGCGGGGGCATCATGAGGAAGTTGTCCTCGCTCTCTGTGTCGCTGGAGTAGTCGCTCTGCAAGAGACAGGTGGGCGGGAGAGGAGAGGAGAAATGAACGAGGGAGCCGTCCTAGGGGTGCCCTGGGATGTGCGCTGCCCTGGTTGGAAGGACCTCGAGGGAAGGGCACTGCTGCTGCCGATACGTGGGGCCCTCATGAAGTCCGCGGAAGTGCAAATTAAGCAAAAACTCTCTTAAGACATGTGCACTAAAATAAACCTGCACTTTGATTCTGCTTCAGAACTTGCTGGGCCCCCTTGAGTGGCTGGTTTTCCTGTCACGGCCTTGGACAGGTTTCCTCCGACCCTGAATCAGCAGGGAGGTGGGGCCTGACTTCCACGCAGATAGAGCTAAAGGCCCAAAGCCGCTCTGTGAGAGAGCTGCCTTTATGCTACTGTAGATTGGTTTTCCCATGGGGCATGTGCACCCGCTGGAGAGAGAGACACAGAGAAAGAGAGAGGGAAAGAAATCACCCCAAGGACGAATGGCCATGCCACAATCGCTTCTCCTCCATTTCCTCTTGGGATTTTGGGCACGTGTGCTCACAGGCCCCACGCTTGTCATGCTATTGCTTCTTGACTTGACCCATGGAGATGGCTGTGTGGGATCCAATGCCTTAACCTCCACACTACCTGATGGTCCTTCTATTATTTTTTTCAAAGTTTATTTATTTCTCCCATGAGAGAGAGACAGACAGACAGATAAAACCCCCAATGGAACCCTGATGCGATCCACCCTCAGGTTCACCCGGCCCACGTGTGTGACTGTGGGCACACATGCCCAGTACACTCAGGGAGGTCTCCAGATGCGAACTGGAAACTTCTCATGTGCATCACCCTCAGTGTCACGTGTGGCCACCATGAGGCCATCTGACCTGAAAGTCGCCTTTTCGCGCTGCTGCTGTGGCTCTGTGGTCTGCCCATTCCGTGGGGTTTCGATGCAGAAGGTGCCCAGGGAGGGGCAGGGCGTAGACTTGGCTCTGCCCAGGTTGGCTAACTAAATGCACATAACACCGCCAGTCTGACAGCCAGTCATGTCACAGACGGCCGCGGCACACAGTGAGAGGACAGAGCTTCCTGCTGGGACCGCTACTTTCCCCCAGCTGAGAGAAACAGGAAAACTTGACTGGGCTCACTCAAGTAATTACAAGAGATGGCCCAGGTGGCACCCGCTCACCCACCACACCCCCACAGATCTGCCTGCGGGGCATGGGCTCAAATCATCCCCCCGAGGGAGGGAAGTGACCAACCTGAGGCCACAGGCCAGCTCCTGGCCCTGGGTCCTTTGAGCCGGGCGCTGTCTGCTCTCTGCACCATGAGTGGCCGCCGTCTGGGCGGGGCCTCCTCCATGTATGTGGGAGCAGCAGCACCCACCCACAGAGCCCGTCCATGAAAGCTGTATGCTTTTCATCGCTTCCCACATGGTCTCAGGACAGGAAAAGGAAATGAACATGGCTGTCATTCCGGCGATCAGGGAAGGAAGACAAACAAGCAGGGAGCTGGGCGGCCTGCAGTCCACTGCTGAGGTGCCCAGTTCCCAGCCCGGGCAAGCCCACCGTCCAGCCCTGCCTCCACACACAGCCACCCCTCACTGTTCCCAGAGCTCACTGTGAACACAAGTGGCTTTGGGGCGTCGGCTGGTGTTGGCGAGGCCGAGCTGCACTGCAGAGGGGCCACCTCTGCACGAGGTGCGGGTAAGGTTTAGTCTGCGTCCAGAGCCCCCCAGATCACACCCTGACCTCAAGGAGCTTCCAGCCCATGCGTGAGTGGGTCTGTGAGTGTCAGCGCGGCATTCCAGAGATATGACCTCCCACGTGAGCAGCCAGCATCCCCTGTGTTTTTAAGTCTTTTGTGTGTTTTAGCTCACATAGCGGGTCCTTTTTGGTTGCTGTTGCTTATTACCCATAAAGTATGTGTGCTAGCCAGAGAGAGAGGGGGAGGGAGAAAGCACCCCTCAATGGAGTGTGGTCAGGCCACAACACCTTCTCCTCCATTTCTCCATCCTGTCAGACTTGGGGCACACAGGCGTGCACACACACGTGCACACCCAGCATGTATTTCAAACCACCTCTGTGGAGGCCAGTATTGAACTGCAGTCGGCCATGCGCCATTCCAGCTCTCTTAACTGCTAGGCCATGGGACTGGCCCTGCCCAAAACGCCTTTTTTTAAGTTGATTTATTTCTTCCATGAGAGTGAGGGAAAAAGACAAAGAAAGACAGAGAGCTGCAGAGACAGACACCCTCACTAGGATCTCATGCCATGATCTACCCCCAGCCTTAGCCATCCTGGATCGCCAGCATGCGAGCCCCCAGCACACAGAGAGGCCCCGGATGTGAACCCAGGACCTCCCCACGTGGGCCAGCACTGCCTGGCGGTGTGCCCCTGCTGCACCACCGCCAGGCCCTGCGAAGCTTGATATGCCTGAGCTCCCTGGACTCTCGCGGTGACTCTGGAAATGTGGGACTGCTATTTTCCCCACCATTCTCATTTTACAGAGGAAGGTCTGAGGCTCCGAGAGGTTAAAGCACTTGCCCAGTCATAGAACCGCCAAGGAGTAGCTGCTGGTCTCAAACCCACTGCCTCACCCATATATATGTACCCAGCATGTCCACGTGTGTACACGTACCTACTATACCCATGTATATGTACTCGGCATGCCTGTGTGTATGTATCCGGCATGCCTGTGTGTGTGCATGTACCCAGAGTGCCCGTATGTATGTACCTGGCACGCCTGTGTGTGTGTGCATCTTTTGTACCCATGTGTGTACTTGGCGAGCCCACATGTATGTACTCGGCTTGCCCATGTGTGTGCACATACCCAGCATACTTACATGCATGTATCCAGCATGCCTATGTATGTACCTGGTGCCTCAGGAGTGCCAGGACCCCTCCCCTCCCATGTGGGTCCAAGCATGTCACTGAGCCAGCACCCAGCCCGGACTTGCTTCCTGACTGTCCTGTGGTGGCGATGGAGAATCCAGGGCACCGTGGATTCTCTGAGCCCTAGTCGGCAGTGCTCTGGGAACTCGGCCCAGCCCACATGGGCACGTTATAAGCAGCGTCTCTGAAACCTGCTTTAGAATTACACCACGAGCCCCAAGAAACAAAGAACTGGGTTTGGGCCCTACCTGAAAATCTTTACGGATGTTTACTTAGAAGCAGAAAAGAACCACGCTCTGTAAATTGCAACGTTGCAGCTACATGACACCAAATCAATTAGTCAATTTTGATTAAAATAGATTTTAAGAGAACAGACAAATTACGGGGCTGACAAGTCGCCTGAGCCCTGTATTCACTCACTGCTCGGTCAGAAAGTGTGCTGTGGGTCTAAGTGGCCACGGGCACCTGCCATCGTACGGGGAAGGAGGACGGGGGAGGTCGGCGGCAGAGGTAGCAGACACCAGCGAACTCAGGGCAGAAGGCACATGGCCACGGGCAGCAGGCACGACACGTCACCCTCCAGGGCTGCTGTAAAATCTGCTTTCTGGACCGCCGAGTCCGACTGGCAAGGTAGACTGAGAACACTCTACGGGGCGGCCGGCTACTGCGGAGGTCGCTCCTTTTCAGCTGGAGGGAAGGCTGAGAGGCAGGGCTCTGGGCCCTCGGCTGGTGCCCAGCTAGGCTCCCCAATGTCACCTCCACATAGTGGGGCGGCCCTGGGGCCCCTCAGGGTTCTCTGCTCCCAACATCCTAATGGAACAGCCATAATGCCAGGCATGGCCCAGGCCTGTGATGCCCCATCCACGGCAGCTCTGTAGGCAGGGCTGCGGGGTGCGGGACCCAGGGTGCCAGACTCAGGGCGCCATGCTGGGCTCTACCATGTCACTCGGTCCTACTCAAGGTCTGAGCAGCACCTCCAGGCATCGGGCTATCCTCCAGATCCCCAGGCTCCTCTGTGTCACTACCTATGAGCAACTCCGTGGGGTCCTCAGGGAGGTGACCATGATGACATGTCTGTGTGGATGAGCACAGCAGACACTATCAACGCAGCCTCGGGACTTTTGTCAGTATAAAGTATATTTTTCCATGAGCAAGAGACAGAGGGAAAAAGAGAGGGAGACAGCGAGAAAGCAAACTGCAGCCAGGTCCAGGACTCAAACCATGGTAGACCATGTGGGAGTCCAGCGCCCTAACTACCATACCACCTGCAGGATCCTAACTTAATTATTAATTAATGTAATACAAATACATTAATTGTTTAATTTGCCTGCAGTAAATTAATCCATCAACGAGTTAATATAAAGCACCTAGCAAAATATTGACATCTGTAATAGTAGCAGTTAGCAAATATTGGCCCTTATTATTGCTGATATAGACATGACTTATCTATGAAAGAACATTACAAGAGAAAATAAAAGTATTACCACCATAATCCCTACTCCTTACGACACAATTAGTTTTATGCTTATGATTCTCTCTTACTATACATTACGGATTGCAGAGTAGGTTTGCTTTGATATCTATTGATCAATGATGGGTCAATCTAATGGTGGGCGCACCTGCCCGGGTACTCAGAGAGGGCTCAGATGCACACTCAGAGCCTCCTGCGTGGGCCAGCCTCCTGGAGTGCTGCCTTTCCCTGCCGCACCACGGTCAGGCCCGAACCTGCATCACTTGATGTTAAACACAGGTGACGGCCCGTCCCCTTCCTCAGTCACGCTGACACATCCTGGTGTTCAGTGTCGGTCCATCACAGCACAGAGCATTTCTGTCATCCTGCATGCTCTCCTGGACGTACTGTGTTATGGGGCTGGACCCTGCCCTCTCTGCCTCGTTCTCTGCCACGCACAGGAGCCCTCGGCCTATCCTCCCACCAGCCAGGCAGCCTGGGCCACCTCAGGGCTTTACACTCGCTGTTCCCTCGGTCTGGACTTTCCTCCCCCAGATGCACAGACAAGCTTCTTCCTGCCACGTGAGGCTTTTGCTCCAATGCCACGTCTCATCAGAGCCCTCTCTGAGCACCTGCAAGACTGTCGCCGTCCTCTGACACAGCATGCCCTTCCTCAATGGGGGCCTCT